TCTACCTATGATGTCAATTACAGGCCTCTCTCATCTTTTTAAGTGGGAAAACTTGCACAATTGGTGGCTGACTAAATACTTTTTGCTCCACTGTACATAATAAAAGTTAAATAATATAAAACTTTAATTACATTTATTTTGCTAAGGAAACTGTACATTATATGTGAGCAAGGGCTGGCATGGGTATTCTCCAAAGTCTGTCTGTAATCTGAAGATATTTCCACCATAATCTCTACAGAAGTGTTGTGAGATTGTAATACATATGTAGCCATCAGATTATTACAGCACTAAACTACAAAGTGTTGTTATAGGTCAGCAAAGGAAGCAGAAGACAAAATTAAGAAGGCATTAGAAAAAGGAGAAATTCTTCCAACTGAATCCAGATTTGATTCTAATTGCATTACACCAGGTAGGGAATTCTGTTATTTTGCTACATTATTTCAAACTTCTTAATTTTTTTATTTCATGAGAATTTTATCATTCCCTTAAAATAAAAGAATGTAATTTTCAAATATATCAGAGGCCAGAGATATCAAATTAAACAATATGGTACCTCTGTTATAGAATGCCCTCTCTCCTACCCCATTCCCTTTCCATAGCAATAATGACACAGCATGAATTGCAAGTTACAATTACTGTTATTCATTATTTACTGTATTTTCTTTTTAATTAAGTACTTACATCTTATACTAAAACCAATTAATAAGCAATTTCTAAATTTTACACATATATGGATTCTGTGTGTGTCTGAATAATCTTATTTGATATTGCCCCAGATTTATACTTCTTTACTAACGGAGGAGGTGCAGTCCCAAAGAGGTTGTGTTTCTTAAAATCAGAAAATAGTTGAAGTAATGTAATCGAGATGTTTATGTTTAATTTCAACATTTATATTTGTATTATAATTATGTACATGTTTAACATAATTTCAAAGATTAGTACTGTTAAAATTGTGAAATCTTTTTTAAAGAATAAAATATTTGAAAAATATTTCAAAAATATTTTAAAGATTTTAGTGAATGAAAATATAACTTTTAGATTTCTGTTATTAGGGACTGAATTCATGGCCAGGTTGCACGAACACCTGAAGTATTTTGTAAATATGAAGATTTCCACAGACAAATCTTGGCAAGGCATAACGGTCTACTTATCAGGCCACGAGGTTACTATTTACTTTTATAAGACTTCTTAAATTAATTGTTATTAATTCAATTTTATTAATTTGTTTTTTTTTTCTTTTCATTCAGACACCAGGAGAAGGAGAACATAAAATTATGGAATTTATTAGATCAGAAAAAACAAAGCTTGACCATGATCCAAACACAAGACACTGTCTCTATGGTTTAGATGCTGACTTGGTATGTTTATATGTAAACATGATTTATTTGGAAAAAAAATATTCTTGATTATAAATGTCAATAGTTGTGGTAAAGAGAGGATTTATTTTGCACACAAGATTCTTACTGGTTTGCCTGATATTTTGTAGGGTTATATGCATTATCCAAGCAGTGTGTTTTATAATATGCTATCCGTTATAGAAAGGGGCAGTGTTATTCTCATAGATGTCAATGAGATCTTTTGATATCGGTATAAGAAGCTGCTAGAATCTCATTCATTATTGATCAATTTTTAAATGATTGGTTCTATTAAATTACTTCTTTTAATAGATAATGCTTGGGCTGACAAGTCATGACCCACACTTCTCCCTTTTAAGAGAAGAGGTCCGGTTTGGTGGCAAAAAATCACAAAGGTAATCTGCTGCAAAAATTGTTAAATGATGGCAAAAGAAGTTATGCAAAACTGCTAAATAACCGAGAAGACTGTATTTATTCAGTATTAAACATTCACATTTTAATCTATGAAATATAACATTTTAATTGCTGAACTGTATTAATAATTTACAGAGCAAGTGCCCCAGAAGAAACCACTTTTCATCTTTTGCACTTATCATTAATGAGAGAATATATTGACTATGAATTTTCATCAGTTAAAGTAAGTATGAGTGAATTTGCTAAAAGTTGTTGAAAGTTGCTAAAGATTTACATATTTAGTTAATTATTTGTGTCAACATTTATTTATCAGGACAAGATTTCATTTCCATATGAAATTGAAAGAATAATAGATGACTGGATTTTAATGGGTTTTCTTGTTGGAAATGATTTTATTCCTCATCTACCTCATTTTCATATTAACCATGATGCATTACCGCTGCTTTATAAAACATACATGACTACATTGCCTGAACTTGGAGGTAAGCTATCTCACATAGTTACTGCAACTTGATTTTATAGTAGGCCCTGCTGCAGAGTAAAATGTAGAATGAGAAAGGAAATAATTACTTTAATCTTGATATTGTGATCTGTATCATGCTGGAAATTTTTTTTTTCTTTCCATTTTGTGGATTGGGTTCTGTAGACCAGTGTTTTTCAACCACTGTGCCGTGGCACACTAGTGTGCCGTGACATAGTGTAAGGTGTGCCGTGGGAAAAACACCTTATATATAGTCAATATAGGCACAGAGTTAAATTTTTTTAACATTTTCTAATGGTGGTGTGCCTCGTGATTTTTTTCATGAAAAAAGTGTGCCTTTGCGCAAAAAAGGTTGAANTATTTATTTATTTATTTATTTGTTGCCCGGGCTCAAGAGTTTTAGGCCGCTTTCTCTTTTTTTCAGAAGATGGGAAATTGGTGGAGAACAGGAGTGAGCCCGAGGGGAGGGGGGGAAGCTACAGCTTACTAATATTCAAACACATTTCAACTTTTCCTTTCTGTCCGGGTATCTTTGACCCCCTAACCGCGAATGCCAGCGGCGGTTTCTCATTTATGAACGAACGCGGGTCTGGAAAGAGTTTTGTGAAACTCCCAGCGACCTCGTAGTTTTCATTTCGTGAGGGAAGCCGCGCAGAAGAAAGCGGCGGGCTCTTATTTCTAGGGGTCTGGAGCCAGCCAGTTTACTTTCAGTTCTGCTTCATGGTGTCGTAGGAAAAACACTCCACGTCATTAGAAATATTTTCTTTTCCTTTTTAGCCCAACAGCGTGCTTGAGGAGATTACAACTCCTCTTATTAGTATTGTTTTCAAATTTAAATCGGATTTATAAAGCACATCGCATCCTAGTGTACTTTATCTTTTTAACAAACTCGGGGAAGAAGAGGAGTAGATTGCTGAAAATGTGCGACATGTTGGAAAAATGTAGCATTCCTCATATCTGTTACATTAAAAATTCAATATAGTTTCTTTTGTAGTGGCCAACAATTGAAAGGAGTACAAAGAATTCAAAGCAAAGAATGAAGAACAATAACACAAGTGGTTATGCTGAGAAAGAGGGAAACAAATAATAGTGTAGTCCTAACTAGCAGAATTAATACAAGTAATCATATGAAAATTCTATTGAATCACAGTTTAGGAATAGTTTGCATAGGGTATAATTAATTGTGCTAAGGCATAATACTATTAATTGATTTTGTCATATGAGTGTTGTATGAATTTAGCTAAATACAGTGTCACACAGTTGCAATATTATCAGTTATTGTTTGCTTCCTAGCTTGACATTCTTTTCCTGAGGGCATAATTACAGTCCTGCTTTAAACTAATGGAAAATAAAATACTAGATTAAAGACAATGCACTTTGTTTCAGAGAAATATTGTTTCTAAAATAAGTCATTGTAGTTTGTAATACGATTTATCCAACTCTAGTATTAGCAAGTATGGTTTAATTCAAAATAAATTAGTTTACATATATAGCTTCTTCAATACAGAATAAAAATAATGGATAGAATTTAGATAGAATTTTTATCCAGAATTGAATTTCTGGATAAGAATTCTTTTTAAAAGAACAGTTCTAAATGGAAATATTGTGCAGACTTATTTTGTTCTTTTTCCTATTGATTCTCATTCAAATACAGGTAATCTTCAACTTACAATGGTCATTTAGTGACCATTTAAAGTTACAATGGCACTGAAAAAAGTGATTGTGACCATTTTTCACAGTTACAACCATTATAGCCTCCCCATGGTCACAAGATTTACATTTGGATGCTTGACAACTGACTCACATTTATGATGGTTGCAGTGTCCTGGGGTCATGCGATCACCTTTTGTGACCTTCTGACAAAAGTCAATGGGGAAACCAAATTCGCTTAACAACTATGTTACTGCAGCAGTAATGGTATCCTCTTTTCTTCACTACTGGTTTGGTAGCGGAAGCTGGGCACATCTGGGCATGTGCAGAACCTTCTGCGCATGTGCAGAAGATCTGTGATGACGTCTGGGTGGGTGGGCGAAGGCTCATGCTGCCCCCACTTTTGATTTGCCCAAACTGGTTTGGGCCGGCAGAATACCACCTCTGTACTGCAGTGATTCACTTAACAAATGTGGCACAAAAAGTCATAAAGTGGGACAAAACTCAACAAATAGGAATGCTTCACAGTGCTTTATAGCCCTCTCTAAGTGGTTTACAGAGTCAGCATATTGCCCCAAACAATTCAGGTCCTCATTTTACTGACCTTGGAAGGCTGAGTCAACCTAGAGCCTCTCAGAATTGAACTGGAGTGCGCAGTGAGTTAGCCTCCAGTACTGCATTCTAACCACTGCGCTATCACGGCTCTTTCTCACTTATTTATCTCACAAATTTCTCACTTAGCAACATAAATGCTCCTTTATGGTCATAAGTTGTGGACTACCTGTATAGAACATTTTTGGCCTGAAAATGTATGCCTACTGCCTTTTTCTTTAATCACTTCAAATGTAAATCCTCAAAATAATGTTTAAATAAACACAGATCATTGTTTCACACTATTATATATTTTAAGTACGTTTTGTGCCTATGATTCTCATGATTTAATGAAAGAGTTTTTAATACATTTTTCTACTTATTTTGTTATTTTGCTTTATTTAATGCTTGTATGGGTTAAAGTATTTACAGATTTTGATATTAAAATGGTAAAGCAAAGCATGGTGAGTTCATAAGAATTATGTACACTTGTATGTTCATTATTAAATGTTTATATACACTTGCTGTATTATATTTTGGATATAATAAAATAAAAAATTATTTGGATCTTGCTGTTTTGGAAAGATGAGTAGCATTTTACTCATATATAATTTGGTGGGCCGCAGTAGATAACCTTTTAGAGGCTTAAGCCATGTAAAATGTCATGCTATATCTTTTGTTAGGAACATACAGTTTTTTGTACATGTGAGCAGGGTTCCTAGAACATGTTCAGTCAGATGGAAACCAGTTTCATTATAATTTAATGTATATGTAAATCTGGCCAGGGGTAGGTTTCCGGCCAGCACTACTGCTGGTTTGCTCGTGTGCGTTCATGCACAGTGCAATTAAAATTGTTCTGTGCATGCACAGAATTGAAAAACAAGATTCCAATAACCCAGGCAGCCAAACCACTACCGGTTCAGCCGAACCGGTAGGAACCCACCACTGAATCTAGCTATTCACATGTATTTATTTCCGAGGAGATTCATATGCATAGTTCCTGCCCATATACAAGCCTATAGAGCCGTGATGGCAAACCCATGGCACACGTGCCAGAAGTGGCATGCAGAGCCATCTCTGGGCATGCCAGCCGGTGCTCGTTGCTCTTCCGGGTTCCAGCATGCGCGCCACCAGCTGGTCTTTGCACGGTCGGGAGTGCTGGAAACCGGAAGAGCTTGGCGTGCATGTGAACACCGGGAAACTGAGCTTCCTGTTTCCACTGTGGCAATGTGTGCTGGCCAGCTGGTCTTTGTGTGCATATGCGCGCCAGAAACCAGGACATCACATGTGCACCGGAGCTCCTCTTCTGGTTCCTGGCGCTTCCGCATGCGTGCTCCCGTTTCAGCACTCAGTGCCAAAAACGTTCGCCAACACTGCTATAGAGAGAGCTGCTATATTGCCCTTCTTAGTGCAATAATGATTCTTAAGCCCATTTTCACAAGAAAAGGGATAAACTTTCAATATTACTCTCTTCACTTCCAATACATGAAGTAGCACAGTAATTCAAAGTCACCCTCACCATAAATGAAACAATAATTGTGAAACTTCTTTTTGTCTCCCAGTGAAAGCTGACCAAATTAGGTGAGCAAAGAATTAACAAGAATAGGTCAAAATCCTGGTGGCCACCTGTGTGTCTAGGGGCACAAGGTTATATTGAATGATAACGCAATCATTTTATAGCAGAGCATAGAGTTCATCATGGATTAGTGTAGCATTGCCCCTTAATTGTATTACATACGCGAATATTGTGAAGTTCACCATCTCCAGTAAGTTTTGTAATGAGAAAAGTAATAGGTGTAACTATCATTGGATTGTGTTTTTTGCATCTTAATCAGCAAAACACAATTGAAACCTGTCTCAATACTCTTATAGGACATTGGCTATTCTGGTAAGAGATATGCTTCAGTCAGATACGCTTTTGAAGTTCTGAAATATTTAAAACTGGAACTTCTGTGTCAATTGTTGAGATTTTACATTGCAAGGTTTTACAAGTTAATAGTGTGCAAAATGCTTTGAATTGGAGTATTTCAAAAAGTAGCATTGCTTGGAGACTCTTAAGGGCTGGATGGGGAGCAACAGGTGAAACGGAACCGTAGCAAGATAAAATTTGAGTTGGGATTCTTTGGTCCATGGAGAATTGCCATCTCTGGTCTTGGATGGGGTTACGCTGCCTCAGACAGATCCAGTGAACAATCTGGGAGTTCTCCTGGACTCATGACTTCTGCTTGAGGAGCAGTTGGCAATTATGGCCAGGAGGGCCTTTGTGTAACTGCAGGTTGTGCACCAGTTACACCCTTTCCTGGACCAACAATCCCTGCTCACAGTCATTCATGCCCTAGTCACCTCTCAACTATTTCAACATGCTCTACATGGGGCTGCCCTTGAAAAGCATCTGGAAGCTCCACTTGATTCAAAATGCAGTGGCCTATATGGTTTTGTGCAGACCCACATGTCACCTCTCCTGCACAAGTTTCACTGGCTGCCATTTTGCTTCTGGGTGCAATTCAAGGTGCTGGTTGTCACCTTTAAAGCCCTATATGGCTTGAGACCAGGTTATCTGAAGGACCATCTCTTTCCAGTTACATCCATCTGACTCATTATAGCGGGGGGGGGGGGATGTTGTTGCAGGGTCCCTCTCCTAAGGATCCAGAAGATCCTTCTCCGTGGTGGCTCCCTTCTTTTAGAACATCATCTCCATGGAGATTAGACTGGTTCCTACTTTGACACTCTTTCATAAGGCCCTGAAGGTCTGGTTTTGCAATGAGCTTGGAAACCCAAAGTGGGATATATCCCATTAAGTGGCTTGTGTAATTGCTTGATGTCACCTGGGGGGAGGGGGTTATTGTTTTTACTCTTTCTATATTAGGTTTTTTATTGTTTGTAAGATGCCTAGAGTCACTGAAAGTGAGTGGATGGCCACATAAATTCTCTAAATAAAGAAATATGGATCTATGTAATGCGTTTTTTGAAAAGTTCTGGCACTATTAAAATTGAAAGAGTGTAGAATTAAAGTTAATGTAATCATTATAGAATAATTATTAACAGTAAAAAGCTTATTTTTAGCAGTTTCTGAATTTTATTTTTAATCAAAACTTTCATGGAAGACAGGATATACAATATGTCTCTATGAAACTCAGGTGGCCTCTTATAAGCAGAATATATTCAATATTAACATATATGTTTTCCAATAAAGAAATAAAATGAAATTAGATAATGCAAAGTATAATTTTCACAGAAGACATTAAACTTAATTAAAACTTATCTTTATAGAACAACTTCTATATTTAATGTGTTTTCTAGATTCCAGAATTTGACAACTTATATTTGGACATGAATGGCATTATTCATCAATGTTCACATCCTAATGATGATGATGTTCATTTCCGAATCTCTGAAGATAAGATCTTTGCTGATATATTTCACTATTTAGAAGTTTTATTTCGCATTATTAAGCCAAGAAAAGTTTTTTTTATGGCAGTTGATGGAGTAGCTCCAAGAGCAAAAATGAACCAGCAACGTGGCAGACGTTTTAGGTATGTATGTAAAATTAGTTTTTCATTTATTGTTTTCACTTCTCTTTGTACCTCCTGCAGACTTTGATGTAATATGCTTGTTCCTTCATACTCTTGTGTTTATTTATAGGAGTGGATGTAGGATTGCTCATTCAATGCTATATTTTTTTTTCCTAGAAAAACTATGGAGCTCTAGAAATGTTTCCTGCTCTTGGTAACAAACTGACTTCCATGACCAAACCTAAGGGGGAATAAGTGGTGCTGGCTTTAACTCAATCATTCCTTTCTGAAGGGAAGCCATGTAGGGAGAGATAGTAAAGGTGGTCCTTGATTACTGACCATTGAACTCATTCGGGGTGTTCAGAGTTACAGTGGTGCAGAAAAAGTAGACTTACAACTGGTCCTCAAAGTTGCTACCATTGCAGTGTCCCCATAGTCACGTGATCCTAATGCAGTCATTTGGTATCTGATGTGCATTTACATCAGTTGCACAGTCATATGATCCCCATTTGCAAACTTCACCATCAAATTTTGACAAGTGAACTCAGTGGGGAAGCCACCAGGAAGTTGCAAATTGTGGTCATAGGACATCATATTTATTTACCTGCAGTGATTCACTTAATGACTGCAGCCAGAACTGATGTCATACGTCTCCATGGGCATGTGACATTTCACTTTAAACTACACTTGAATCATCAAATATTTTCATCTAGTCATTTTTCATGTTTTATTGTGTTAAGAGTATGCACCTTTTTAGCACATTTCATGGCCTACTTTCCAAAATGCAGGTTAACAAAATAGACACCTGATATAGTTTAATTTATGTTGATGACTGACTAAAACCAGTTTCGTTTATTAAATAGTTAGTGTATAATTAAGCCTTAATTGTATGTTAATTTCTCCTATGTTTTATATTAGAATAGTAGTTTCAGATTTCTGGGGCTGCATTCAGCTCTGGTCCCTCAAAATGGTGGTGCCTTTGTAAGCTACGGTATGTCTTTCTTAGTCTAATTTAGGAAAGAATATAGATTGTCTACTTCAGCGGTTCTCAACCTGTGGGTCGCAACTCCTTTGGGGGTCGAAAGACCCTATCACGGGTAGCCTAAGACCATCGGAAAATTGCAAAATTACAGTTATGAAATAGCAACGAACATAATTTTATGGTTGGGGGTCACCACAACATGAGGAACTGGATTAAAGGGTTGTGGCATTGGGAAGGTTGAGAACTACTGGTCTATTTGATCTTTGTCAGTAAAATTCTTTAAGTGTTTTCATCACAGAGCTGCTAAGCAATCCCCAGGTTTACTGTCAATTCAGGGGGAGATGTTGGACTTCTTTCACAACTCCTTGGATGATTTTATCTATCTATAGATTCAATGTTAACAATGTTGCCAACTCTTCTATTCCATGCAACTTATAGATATACAGTGGGGCAAAAAAGTATTTAGCCAGCCACCAATTGTGCAAGTTCTCCCACTTAAAAAGATGAGAGAGGCCTGTAATTGACATCATAGGTAGACCTCATCTATGAGAGACAAAATGAGAAAACAAATCCAATCACACTGTCTGATTTGGAATGATTTTTTTTTGCAAATTATGATGGAAAATAAGTATTTGGTTACCTACAAACAAGCAAAAGTTCTGGCTCTCACAGACCTATAACTTCTTCTTTAAGAGACTCCTCTGTCCTCCACTCATTACCTGTATTAATGGTACCTGTTTGAACTTGTTAGCAGTATAAAAGACACCTGTGCACAATCTCACAGTCACACTCCAACCTCCACTATGGTGAAGACCAAAGAGC